TGATTCTTCACCTCCTTTATCTTTAAATGATAATAGTATTGATAATCAGCAAAGTAAAAGTAAAAGAAGTTATAAAAGGAGACAAAAAGTTGATCTTTCATCACCACAAACTATTGCTGAACTCTTAAAAGATGATGGTGTTAATTATAAAAATAATAATACCGATTTTAATGATAGCAATGATAAAGAAATTTTACAACAAGGCTCTTTAGAAACAGAACGAAACTCAAGATTAATGTCAATCCTAGAGCCAAAAGCTAATTTTCAAGAATATATTTCTTTAAATACAACTGTTCAATCAAGAACGATGTCAACAGTAGATTTAAGAGCAAATAGTCTAATTGATGATTTTTTTTCTTCAAATAGATCATCAATAGCTCTGGAATTAAGTAATGAACCTGATTCTTTAAATAAACTCTCAAGAACGGTATCATCACCTTTAAGACTGACAAGATTGACACTTTTAAAATCAAGAGATAATGCATTGAACATTTTTAATAATACGTTCATTCCTACTCAAAATATAACAAATTTCAATACAGCAATTAGTAAAGTCATTCTATTACCATTTAATGAAATGACAATTTATCAACTTTGTTCATGGTTGTGTATGAACCCTAATATTCTATAGCTAGCAAATAATATGCATTTATCAATGCAGACATCAGAAGCATCATTATTCATATCTTCTGGATTTACTTTACTACATAAGCAAGATAATAAGGTGAAGGCTTGTCATGATTTTCTAGAAGAATTGAAAAGTCTCTTCCTTCGCATTCAGAATTCCCAGAAAAGTGTACTTGAAGAATTGATAAGAAATGTTATAAAGTGTAACCTCAACGATGCTGAAGGTATTGAATGGATTCAAACAGCAAATAGGTACTTCAGTGATTTTCGTAATAAGTTAGTCAATAGTGTTGAATATTCGGTTAGAATGTTCAAGAAAAAAAGAAGATTGTTAGTATTAAATATCAAGTAATATTTCTTTTTTTATTATTTTTATTTTACAATTATTAATAATTTAATTAATTATAGGCCTACGATGAGCCTTTTACAAAAAGAAGAAATTATTACTTTCGTTAATGAGAATGAAATGGTTTGCATGCTGGGTCAGTGGTTGAACACCACTAATATGAATGAATTACGTGCTCAATGTTCTATGCCTTATTTATGTAAATTTATTCAGCATGCATTTGCTATTAATTATTCATCAAGGGACACCGAAAAGACCAAAAC